GCTGAGCACCACAGAGGGATGAATGGTCTCCGTGGGAAAGCTGAGCACCACAGAGGGATGAATGGTCTATGTGGGAACGCTGAGCACCACAGAGGGGTGAATGGTTTACGTGGGACACTGAGCACCACACAGGGATGAATGGTTTCCGTGGGAAAGCTGAGCACCACAGAGGGATGAATGGTCTCCGTGGGAACGCTGAGCACCACAGAGGGAGGAATGGTTCCCGTGAAGAGAAACTTCAGCATACTCTACCTGAAAACTTCCTTCAGCAGCTTCACCTTGTTGTCAGGGTATCTCTTCGTGTTGGTGTCATCGAGGAAGGCCCGGGCATATGCTAGTGGACCAGCGTTGACCTGGGGAAAGAACAAGGCTTGATTAGAAGAAAAAGGACCACTACCATTTCCTTGTGTCAGCTGCCACACACTCTGAGTGCTCTTTAACTGAGTCACTCATGATCCCCGACTCCTAGTACATAACGGCCAAGAAAAAAATCATAACTGAGTTACATCAGGTACACTGCTTGATCCCATCACATACGCCACCCTTCATTTTATGTGAGAGGGAACCAGTGGAGGGAATGTAAGGACTCGCTCAGGTTTGAGCAACCAACATGCAAAACACCAGAGCCCAGGTCTCCAAACCCACAAAGTTCCTTCACACGGGATTTCAGACACTGGAATTTGTGCTACATTGTACTGAACAAGTCAACCTGGTGAATTCAGTGAGAACTGAAAACATACAGAAGCGTTCGTGTGTGTGTGTGTGTGTGTGTGTGTGTGTGTGTGTGTGTGTGTGTGTGTGCGCGCACCAGAAGTCAACATCAGAGCTCTATCCCTCTCTACATTATTATTATTATTATTATTATTATTATTATTATTATTATTATTACTACGATTACTTTGAGGCAGATTCTCTCCCTGACCCTGTAGCCCACTGATTAGGCTAGGTCTCCTAGACGGTGAGCCAGGGGCCTTCTTGTCTCTGCCTCCTCAGAGCTGGGGTTACAGGTGTGGGTCTGGCTATCTGACCTCAGCTGTACAGCAAGCACTTTCCTGAGGAGTCACCTTCCCGGCTCCTACAGCCATTGAAACTAAAAGGAAACCTCGTCATGGGATTGTAGAGGCAGCCATCGGCCAACGGTCTTCCTCATCATGGGATTGTAGAGGCAGCCATCGGCCAACAGTCTCACTGACTTAGCTGAGCTGTGCTGGAAACCAAAGATGAGGAACATTCTGCAGTGTGGTGAGTGACCCAGGATCCTGCCAACGTAGGAACGAGGAGAGAGGGGCGAGATCCTGGGACACGGGCTTAGGAAGCAAGCAGGGAGAGCTGTCAGCGTGAAGCTCTGGCCCTTCACGTGTGGGACTGTGGCAGTCTCAGAACTGGGCCAGGTGATTTCACGGCGGCTACGGGGAGGGGGGGGCCCAGAAGCCAGTGTCAGCGTGGGGCCCCCGCGAAGGACAGCTGGCTTTCCCGTGGTGACGGAATGTGGTGGCCTCTGCGTTAGGCTGTGTGAGAATGAAGTTCACGTGAAGACAGCACACAGACTGTCTGGCATGTGACAGGACACCCGATTTCAAACAGACAAAGAAGACAGCTGCAGATACTATGTGCGACACACTACAGGAGGATGGTGAGAAGCATGGCCGCAGGAAGCCTCGGGGCGCGCAGCCACTGGGACACCCACAGGAAAGGAGAGCCAACTTCCTTTGGCCTCGACTTTGTTATCAGGGGGGCCCAGCAGGAACATCATGTCTTCATTTGGTCACGGGGTCCATTGCTGTGTAAGATGGCTGGCCATTTTTATAAAATCTGGAAGGTCTCTGTCCAACAGTGCTGCAAGCTTACCCTTTAGACAGGTCCACCTGTCAGGCCCCACCCTCCCCTGGCCTTTCCATAGAGGGTCCCCGTTCCCAGGTCAAGTTATTGAGTAACATTTTTAGCTACAGAAAATGTGACCTCTGGCCCTGCTGTACGGTCCTGTTGCTGGAGTGCTGATATTCCCTTTCTAAACTACTTTGGCACTTTTTAGGACATGAGGGAGGTGACTATAAATATTTAAAAATACTTCTGTGGTCAACGACATTTGGTAAAATATTTGCTCAAAACTCATGATTCTTTACATGTGCATCTGATGAAATAGACAAAAAAGTGATTTCAGAAAACAGTCGCGGACATAGAACTTACACAGTTGAACTTCTGCATAGGCTTTGTAGACACACTACACTTGGACCAGAAAACAATGAACAGACAAGTACTTGAATTCCGTAAGTACGTATAAAGCTGGTCACTGCAGGGAGATGACTTAAAATCTGCCTGTTACCTAGCTAACTATTTGAGATAACTTAAAAAAAGAACATTCATCTTAAGTATATAGCTTGATAAATCTTCACAAACAATGTATGCATTAACTAGTATCTAGATCGAAGATGATCTCCCAATAAATAGCACACGACACTTAGAAGGGGGAAAACGTAATGTTTTTTTTTTTTTTTTGAGACAGGGTCTCAGGTAGCCCAAAGCAGCTTTAAACTTGTTATGAAACTAAGGATAACTTTGAATTTCTGATCCTCCTGCCTCGGCCTTCAGGTGCTGGATTATTAGGCATGGCCTCACACGGCCAGTTTATGCAGCAAAGGATCAAATCCAGGCCTCCTTGCATGCTCGGTAGACCTCTATAGCCCTTTTCCCTGTTTTTGTTCTTTTGAGACAGGGTCTTACCGTGTAGTACAGGCTGGCCTCAAAGTCACAGCAGTGACCCTGCAAGTGTCTGAGCCTCAGCCACTTGTGCTGGCATTAGAGAGGCATGTCCCACCGAATCCTGCTGGGGAAAAAGTATCTTCACCCCTCTCCTCTGCCAAATACAGAACAGGTCCAGCTGGACGGCGGGTCTGAGTGTGAATATTGAACAGTGGAGGAATCTTACAGAGGACCAGATTTCTTTCTTTCAGCTGAGACATTAAGATCTGTGCTAGGTATGAAGCCCAGGCTTGCCTAGCACTGGCTACGTAGCCCAGGTTAGCCTTAGCTGATTGTACCACCTCAGCTTCTCAAGTGCTGAGATTACAGGGGTCACCACAAGTGCTATGTATGTCTGTGAAAGAACAACAAAACCCCACAAAACAAAACTTCCCTGTCAAAATCCCAACAATAGGATCACCTAAAACAAGACCCGAAGAGTAACACACTGACAGGTCAGCATGAACAGGGAATCTCACAAGGCTCCACCCTAGATGAAGAGCTACAGGCAACCGATGACGGCTGAGAGAGGGAGAATCAGTCTTTTCCAGGGACAAGACCCTGACAGGTTATCCAATCCCAACATGTCAGGCCTAAACACACGTACACACGGGCAACACTAAATGGACTCAGCAGCCTGTGCGTGTGCGTACATGTGTGCATGCGTGTGCATGTGCATGCATGTTTAATAATTTAGACGTTAGAGATCATGAATTTGAGGAAGAATGAGGGCATGGGAAGGGTTGGAGGGGGAGATGATGTAAATACAGTACTCATATATGAAATTCTCAAAAATGAATGACTTTAAAAACATGTTACCAGTAAAATCAACTCGATTGGGTTGCCTTAAAATGAAGACCTTTTTTTGTTAACAAAAAACAAAAACAAAACAAACAAACAAAAAAACCATGGAGAAGGTGAAACTCGAGGTACTTTTTCAGACACGATTTTCATGGGAACTAGAAACCAACAGTTTTCCAGGAAAGCCTGTTACTAACATCTTTCTTGGGCTTGAGGAGCGTTCTGTCAATCAGGGACCCAACACTCTCCAAGTCACTGGAAAGTCAGTGTGCCGTGACGAGTGTGCTGTCTCCAGCGGACAGCTCGGTAAAGGCAGGATTGGGGGCAGTTAAGCCTACCGCTCCCTCTGATAACGGAAGACAGGACGCCGCAGACACAGGGAACTAGGCTCCCCAGGCGGGGTGAGGGAGTGCAGCTTACAGGCTGAGGGGCCCCTCTGCCCACAGGGTTCTTCAGCTCACCTGGACGCTCACACTGCCCTGGAGCTTGAGCTGCAGTTTAATCATGTCCACGTCAGCCGAGGCGCACAGCTGGCGGAGCTCGGCCACCTTCTTGCTCATTTCGTCAATGGCCACCTCGATGGGGTTCAGGTCAGTGTGGTGCTGGTACATGACAGGGATCCGCTTCTTCACATAGGGGAAGCAGTGGATCGCTGCAGAGGAACAGGGCTGGGTTACTCCACAGTCTGGATGGTCTTTCCTGTGCTGAGGGAAAGTCATCACCATGCCTACCGTACAGCTAAGATAAGAAACTCAGAATTTGCCAATGTCACATGCTAATTCTCTTTGGAGCTGGGACACTTTCTTCCTTTTTAATACTGTATGCTTAAGATTTTATTTATTTCAATTTTATATGCATGAATGCTTTGCTTTCATGTATATCTGTTCAGTGGTGTGTGTGTGTGTGTGTGTGTGTGTGTGTGTGTGTGTGTGTGTGTGTGTGTGTGTGTGTTGCCCACGGAGGCCAGAAGAAGGCATCAGATCCTCTGGAATTGGAGTTACAGGTGTTGTGAGCTACCATGTGGGTGCTGGGAACCAAACTCAGGTCCTCTGCAAGAGCAGCCGGTGCTCTTATCCACTGAGCCACCTCTCCAGTCCTTAATGATGTGTGTAAGGACAGGTCATATCATAAGGTAAACAGAGTTGGTTCCTTCCTATCCCTTTAACAGGTAAAGTGTGTCTTTGAAAAAAAGCTCTTTTATTACTCTTTGCTTACTTTTTTAAAAAATCTATAGTGTCCTAACCCTCCTTGGAAGTTGTGAGATTCAAATGAGTAGGTTCTAGACAGCTTCTAAAACACACAAAAAAAGACTAAACAGTTTTGAGATATTATACAGCAGTTCAAGTACAAAAAAATAGTGCCATAGTATATCTCTGAGAACTTTCCTCCAGAGAACAACTTTGAGTCACATGACAAATTTGTCTAACCTTTCTTGCTCATATAAACCCTCCTCTTTCTCACTAATTAGACTGCCAGCGGAAACCAAGGTTGGATAAAGCACAGGGACAAATAGCCAAATGAATGGAAACACACAAACTATGAACCAAAGGCTGAGGGGCCCCCAACTGGATCAGGCCCTCTGAATAGGTGAGACAGTCGATTGGCTTGATCTGTTTGGGAGGCATCTAGGCAGTGGTACCAGGTCCTGGGCTCGTTGCATAAGTTAGCTGTTTGAAACCTGGGTCTTATGCAGGGACGCTTGGCTTAATCTGGGAGGAGGGGACTGGACCTGCCTGGACTGAGTCTATCAGGCTGATCCCAGTCCTCGGGGAGACCTTGATCTGGAGGAGGTGGGAATGGGAGGTGGGCTGGGGGTAAGGGGAGGGGGACAGGAAGGGAGAGAACAAGGGAATCTGTGGCTATTATGTAGAACTGAATAGTATTGTAAAATAAATAATAATAATAAAAAAATTTGTCTAAACCTAAGATATCAATGAAAAACAAACAAAAGCATCTCAAGCAAAGCATTTCACAAACCTGAAATCCACAAATGACAGAACTAATGTGCCAATGGTCAAGGTGTTCTGAAACTACCAGTGGTAAGAAATATGAAAACATTTACTATTCCTCATGTTTTCCACTAAAAGACAATACCTGACCATATCAGCACCAAACAGCACGACAATGGGCAATGGAAAACTGTGGGGCTGGAGAGACGGCTCCGTGATAAGAGCATTTGTTGATCATGCAAGTGACCCAAGCTCCAGTTCCCAGCACCTACCCGGCAGCTTACAACCACCTGTAATTTCAGTTCCAGGGGATCTGGCACCCTCTTCTGACCTCCCTAGACACCAGGCATGCACATGGTGCACGTGGAAACAAGCAGGCAAAGTATTCATATATAGAGAACAAAATAAATAAACATAAATTTTTTGTGTGTGTAGATATTAGGCTAGTTCAAGTGTTTAGCATTTCTATCTTCTTGCAGGAACACCAGTGCTATGGGACGGTCTTTCTGTATGCTGTGAATATGCGCTGCTACCACTGGTTAACAAAGAAGCTGCTTTGGCCTATGGCAAGACAGGTTATAGCCAATCGGAAAATTCAAGTAAAGACACAGGGAGAAGAACGGTGGAGCCAGGGAGACACCAGTAGACTGGTAATGCCACGGCCATGTGGCAATACACAGATTGACAGAAATGGGCTAATTTAAGATGAAAGAGAGAGCGAGCTAGCAAGAAGCCATAGACCAAACAGTATGTAATTAATATTAAACCTCTGACTGGTTATTTGGGTACTGGCAGGCAGGAAAGATTTATCTGGCTACACACCTGTAATATTTTCATTTGCTATTAGATCTGTACATGTGAAATGTACACACTTCAAAGTTTATTTTTTAATCATGTGTGTGTGTGAAAGTGCCTGTGCCACGGCACGTGTGGACCTCTGTGCACACACGGAGGGTGAGGCACAACCGAGAGTCGGTTCCCTCCTGCCTCCTTGTGGGACCCAGGGGTCTAACTCAGGCCATCAAGCCTGCACACAAACACTTCTCGCGGAACTATCTTCCAGGCCCTTATTTTATTTTTGTTTTTGTGTGACAGGCTCTCACCACCTAGCCCTGGCTGCCCTAGAACTCACCACCTAGCCCTGGCTGTCCTTTGCCTCATGAGTGCCGGGATCTAAGGCGTGTGCCACCATGGCTGGCCCCCTTATTTTATTTTTTAACTAGGAAAAGATGACAGAAGTTAAGTTTGAGTTCTCTAGTAAATGACTAGGGACAGTTTAATCAGATGGGGCCATCAGTGACCGGACAAAGCAGGAAACAGAGGTGCTCCCCATGGTCACATTCCACTCTCAGAATGTTTTTGTTAGTCTGGGGATCCTGTCTGGAGCTCCTTTTGTGTCCTTGTGGACGCAGCAGCTTGTGAGTAGCGACAACAGGGATGCTCAGTCCTCTCTGCACAGAGGCTGCTGCTTTCACTAAGAACTGAGGTTGCTGCACTCTGCAGGGAGGGGTGGTTCTGACCACAGCCACCCTTGCATTTGGTGCACCACACCAAGGAATTCCACTCCCAGCGGTAAGGAAAACGCATCACACTCATGCAGTGTCCCAGCGTCTGGGACAGTCATGGTGAGGTTGCACTATTACTCCAGAAAGCCAACTCCAAGGGTGGTGTGTGAGGTGTCCATGACTCACACTGGTCCTCCTCAGGGTTAAGTCCTGACCAACTATCGCTTCTTAGATGGGAACTAGACTTCACAGGCAGGCACAACGGTACTACTCAGAGAAAGCTCCAGGTCTGTGCCAGGCCCCACAGGTGGCACTGCCCTGGTATTCTTGCTAGTTTCACCCCATCTCCTCTGCCTCAGACAACCCGGCTGCAGCCACACCAGTCCCTTTATCTCCAGAGTGCCCAGACACAGACATTCTGGCCACCCCTCATCTCCTTCATGTCTTGACTCAAACGTCACATTCTCAATGAGCCTTACCTCATCCTCTCCTCTCCCCCAAGCCCCACATTCCCAACCTCCTTGGCATCTATGAGCATGTGTGGCTCTAACACCCATGCTGACTGTTGTCTTCTCTTGCTGAGATGTGAGTGGCACAAGGCCATAGACCTCATTTTGGGGCCTCACTGAAGCTTGCATTACTGTCCCAAGGACTACATGAGAGAACAAAGTGGCCCCAGAAGGTGGAAAATCAGGTATGCACCGGAACAAGCCACATGTGGTAATTATACATGGCCCAGTGCCCTGACGTGTGGCCCTTCAGGAAGACAGAGAACGCATGTATCACCTGTACGGTAGGGTGAACAGAAGGCGGGCAGCAGATGTCTCCAATCTGAGTGGAGTGGGGGGTGAGAGCTGGGGAATCTGGAAACAGTAACTGGGAAGAAAGGAAAGGCAGGTCTAGAAACTTCCACCAGGAAGCTGGGGGCAGGGGCAGCTGTGCGGTTTTCTCAGATGATTCGATCACAGAAGTCAGGAAAGGCCAGGGTTCCTCTGCCACTTGCCGCGACACAGTGGAGGGCGCAGAAGCTACTAACTGGAGGGAAAACTCTAGCTCAAGGGCTCTGAAAGCGCAGTGTGTTTCTTTAAAGGTTGCCATGCACTCACACCCTTTCAGTGGCTTACTCTGTCTGGTTACGATCCCTCCCACCCTTCCTGGTCTCTCACGGCACGCCGTGCACCTGGTTTTGGTGTGCTCTGTCACACCGTGGTCCCTTTTGCTCATCATCAAGCCTAAGGTGAAGAGTCCAGTGGCAGGTGAGATCCAGCCACCCGAACACACTCTTCCCCCCGTCTATACTTTATAGGATTTCTCACAAGGAGACGAAGGCACAGGGAGGTTTGTCCATCTCCCCACGTTCACACAGGGAATGTGGTGGCCGGGTTTGCGGGAGCCCCAGGCCAGGCACGTGTTTTCTCAGCCCTAAAGGTGTGGTGAGTGGCTGTTCTCAGAACCACCAGGGCCTGTGTCTGCTGTGCCTGGCCGTGTGGCCAGTTACTCTTTGTCCTCTGATTTGGTGATAGAGAGCTAAGCCCACATTCTTTATCTAATCTAAAACAGTTCTGTAACAAATGTGAACTGTAACCCGGAAGAATATGTGCCCAGGGAGAACACCTTGTTATGAATCCAATCAGTATACCACCTCAACAAGATTCATGATAAAAATAAACACCCAGCTCAGCAGTGAGCTCTGAGTATGCGCCAGAATCTCCTGGAGCGCTTGCTGGGCACAGGGCTTGGGTGTCCTCCCTAGTTTCTTATTCAGCAGATTTCAGGGGTGTGGGCTGGGTAGAGCCTGGGACTCTGCAGCTCAAATTCCCAGGGGTGGCTGACCTTGGTGGCTCCAGAAAGAACTCTGAGAGATGCTGATTTAAGAACTCCACAGTGAGGTTGCTATCAGTGTGGAGATTAGACTGAAACTGGTAACCACGAGAAGATCTGCCATCTAGAAACAGTTTTCCTCCTTGGTAAGAATCTGCCACTCAGGTGTGCATTAGAAAAACCACAAGTTTGCTAAGAGAGAGGGAGCTCACGGTGTGGGGGCAATGTGGATTACGTATTCCATATTTCCCTAAAAGGAGGGGTGGGGAAATTTTATACACGTAAGCTTTTGTGTTTTACAACCCTTATCTCATTTCCCTCACAGAAACTTAAAAAAAATCTGCTGTATTGAGTTGTCTTGAGTGTATTTTTAATTTTATTTTTACTTGGTGTGCGTGCATGTGTATGTGTGTGTGTGTGTCGATGGGTGAGTGTATGAGCATGTCTGTGCCCGAGGAGGCCAGAAGAGGGTGTCAGACCCCGCGGAAGGGGGTTACAGCCAACTGTCGGTGGCCTGCTGTGGGTGCTGGGAACTGGACCTCAGGGAAGAGCAGTAAGCACTCTCGACTGCTCAGCCATTTCTCTGGCCCCTACCCTGGGCTCACTTACTATTTTTTAGGATTTGTTTACTTTTATGTGTTGTGGGTCTTTTGTCTGCATGTATGTCTGTGCACCTTCATGCATGCCTGGTGCCCAAGAAAGCCAGAAGTGGGTGTCCAATCCCCTTGGTCCCTTGGGACTGGAGTTACAGATGTTTGTAAGTCACCATGTGAACACCTGGCGGGAGGGAGGCAGGAGGGAGGCGGGCGCACCTGTCAGGATGGTCAGCCGCTTGCACTGCTCGTCCACGCCGCCCTGCCGCTTCCCCGTCTGGGTGAAAGGCATCTCAAACATGAAGCGCCGGATATTGTGGCACCTCTCAAACTCCGTTTTCCTCTCTTGTAACTCCTTCTCATCGAAGAACGGGGTCACGTGGGTCACCTGGATGTAAGCAAACTTGGAATCCAGGTCCTTCGGGTTAACCTTTAAACCAATAAGCAACACTGAAGTCAGGCACTCTCCGTGGGGGCTCTTCCCAGTCGGAGACAAATTTTCTAAACTTTCAATTAGAAAACATTGAGAGAAAGTTTAGGAAGGTTGGAAAAAAATAGTAAAAGAACACCTACATACCTACCGCCTAGATCATCGCCGCCACCATCTTGCTGTATTTGTTTCAAGAAGATATGCATACACATATACGTAAATGTGTGGAGACAGTTTTAAAATTGTTTTTCAGGTTACCATACACGACAGTCGTGGGTTTCCACAACATCTTCACTCATGTGTCAATATACCTTTCCATCAGACTTTTATAAACACACACACACACACATACATGTATACACACATCACCACATGCACATTTCTAAGTAAACAGTACACATCATGACACACCACCTAGATTTCCCTGAAAATGAGAACATTTTCCTCTATAAACACAATGCACTGTGATACTTAATAACAATTCTCTTCAAGACATCTAATTCCCTCAGAAGTATCCAGACTGACAGTCTAACAACCACCACTCTCCACATTTAAGTGTCTGTCTGTCTGTCCCTCACTCCCTCTCCTCCCGTCCAGCCCTCCTCTCTGTCCGGAAGAGTCTCATGTAGCCCAGTGTGGCTTTCAACCCATGATCCTCCCGTGTCTGCTTCATAAGTGATGGGTTTATCGAGGAAGTACCCCACTACCAAGCTTGTCTCTTTGCTCTTGATTAATCTAGAATTTCCCATTATGACTTTTCCATGACACTGAGTTCTTTGAGGAAACTTGCTCGGGTCCACCCCCTTCCTGCCTTAGTCTGGATTTCCCCATCTTAATTTTTCTTTGTTTTAAAACTACTTTTGTGTACTTAGCTAGAAAAGAAGTTTATTTTGAGAATAAGGATCAAATGTCAGGCCCTAAAATATTAGTAATTGGTCATCAGATCAAATGAGATGCCAACAGATGGATTCATTTAGTACAAGGCCAGATTAACCTAATTTACAATTAAGCCCTAGGTTTCCTTTCTGCTTAACCCAGCACATGAATGCTTTTGCAACCAAACTGTGAACTGGTGGTCCTCTGGTGTCTGACACGTGATGGAAAATGAAACAGGCATGTTCCACAGGGAGACAAAAGCTGATTTACATTGGCGAGGCAAATCAATTTTGCACATTCTAATTGTATTTAATGTGGAGCCATAAAATGACCACAGAAGAAATGGCTTGCAGAGTGCTTGGGGCAAGCAAAGATGGGTTCACGGTTCTGCAGAGGCGCTTAAAAAAGGTAGAAAAGGTTAGAGCCTAGTGTAGAAGGTAAAAAACAAAACAAAACAAACAACAAACAAGAAACCCCAAATCCACAGAACTTTCCTGGATTTGGAACAAGCCATGTGGACAATCATAACTGTACTTCTTAGGCATTTGTTTGTGTGTGTGTGTGTGTGTGTGTGTGTGTGTGTGTGTGTGTGTGTGTGTGTCTGCAGGGGCACATGTGCCATGGTGCATACATGTAGGGGTCAGGAATCAACTCCCTGGATTTGGGTCTCTCCAGCCACCTTGCAGAATCTGGGAATTGAACTCTCGGGCCTGTGGGGAGGCTCCTCTACCCACTGGGCCTCTCTCTGGCCTGACAATCATATAATTGCATTTGAATCAGTTAAAGCCCACTTTCTTTAGTGAAGCCAATTCAAAGGCAGTAAGGAAGGCGCTGCCTGCCTGGTTCTGGGGGTACCTCCCTAGCCTCCATGTGTGGACAGGCAGCAGGAACAGGACACTGATCCAGGAGGATGGTTCTCTAACTCAGTGGCTCCATGGGGCCACACTGTAAATGGGGAAGGAGAAGAACTAGAAGCCCGGAGGAGAGGCTGAATGTGGAAGCTGCTTCTGCATATACAGGGCTGTTCTCAGAAGAAGCCCATCTGGGCAAGCAGCTTGATCTGTTCGGAAGGTGGGTACTCATGTCTTCCTGCGGCTGCCAGTAAAACACACTGCTTCCTTTCCCTTAGGTAAACTTGCTTAAAATGACACCAGGTATTAAACCACAGGGGCTCAGGAGGAGACAGGAGCAGGTGAGAGGTTTCAGTGAGTGTCTAAAGACTGGCTGGTGGAGGTGTGTCCCTGGTCTGGGTGGTGTGCTAACCCAGGACTCCACAGGTGAGGTAACAGAAATCAGCACATCCCAGAGAAGCCCACAGAGCATCAACTTGGGACCCTAGTTTTGAGAGAGGAGCAGAGCAAGTGGTCCCAAGTGCTGTGGCTGCCAACCGAGTTCTCTTCTCTGGTCCTTTCGCTAACAGAGGATCAACCTCCAGAGAAACTGGCTGGAAATGTCCCATAGTCTACTAGACATTCAGCCCAAGCAGGGTCAGCCTACAGAGGCGTGAGGAGGCCGGGAGGCGGCGGACACAGGAGGGAATGTCCTGTCCTCTGCCTGGGCCAGCGTCCAGCTGAAGCCAGCTGGTCCCTGCTGCTTTCTCTGTCCTTTGACAGCTTCTTGGTCATCTGAGCATGAGAATGGAGGGCATGAGGGCTCTCAGGGAGCAGACGTTAGACTCCGGGCACTCCAGCAGAGGACTCAGGAATAAAAAGGTTACAGACTTCTTCAAACCGGTGTCCTGAGAAAGATGCAGGGCTTTTCACTGCTGGGAGACGAAGCACACACTGTTTTTTGTTTCTCTGTTTGTGTTTGTTTTATCGAGACAGGGTTTCTCTGTGTGTAACCCTGGCTGTCCTGGACCTCACTATGCAGACCAGGCTGGCCTCGAACTCACAGAGATCTGCCTGCCTCTGCCTCCCGAGTGCTGGGATTGTTTTTGTTTCTTTAAAGATAGGGAGGGTCTGGTTATGTACATCGGCTGGCCTTGAACCCATCCTATCTAAGCCTCCCCACTGCTGAGAGCCCAGGCAGCTACCACATCTGTCACATCTGGCAGCAGAGCCCCCTACTCCACCCTTTAGTTAAAACCAGAGCATCTCTAAAATGTGAAGAACAAGTGATACCTTTGGGAAGTGGAGGAACACCCAGCTTCCCGAACACCTTCTGAACGGGTGGGATACACAAACACTCAGGACAGCTGTGTAGGCTTGGGAAGGGTCCTAATGAGACTCAAGAGGACAGCCACTCTAAAGAAAGCAGGTCTCACTCCTCAGTGATGTCTGAGCCTCACCCACCAGGGTGCAGTGAGGGACAGAACCCTGGAGTCACCTGGGGCAGAATCCAGCTGGGCCCTTCGTAAGTCAATTATGCGGTAAAAGAGGACACTTTTGTTTCTGGGTTTGTTTTTTGGAGACAAGGTCTCACTACTTAGCCTAGGCTGGTGTGTAAACTGCGGTCCTCCTGCCTCAGGCTCCAGAGTTCTGGGAATACAGCCACGCGCCCCCATCCCAGCTAACTGAAGATGCTTCACCAACGCAACGAAGAGTTCCGCAACGTTCAGCACGTCATGGGAAGCACAGAAGGCAGTTACAAGGGGAAGAAAACGCGCCTGCCACTCAAGGGCAACACTCCTCACCCCCCCTCGCTTTTCACATTTGTGAGTACACACGCCATACAGCCAATCACACACAACTTAAAATCGCTAGGACACTTATCAGGCAGTAGTCATACCTTGCCAGAATCCTGTATCATTTTGACATTTTCAGAACCAAATTTATCTGAGTAAAGCTTAAGGAGTCTCTGAGAAATTTCCGACAGAGGCGTGAGTTTTGGTTCTTTGTAGATATACTCCTTCCCGTCTTCATCTTCAAAGAAACCCTATGAGCAACAGCACAATTAGAGGTGCCCTGCGTGTGCCCAAGGCTGACTGTAACTGTGAAACAGGAACAACCACCAAAAGCAATGGGAAAAAATGATTCCAAAATAAACCCCATTGAAACAGGCCATTCAAATAGGAAGGAGAGGGTTCTAATTGGAGTCAAGGCTCAAAGACAGAGGAAAACACAAAAGTGCAAATGTATGCAAGTCATTAAGTGTGTGAAATGGAAGAGCCGGGGTCCGAGACAACACTCTCTCTGTGGAATGTATGGGGGTCAAGCCTGTTTCACATTCCCAGGAGGTCGGACACATGGAGAAATGGCCAGCACGACGTAGCAGTCATACGTCAGGTCTGGAGTAGGCCAAGCAAGGACAAAGTTTGAGTGAATTCGGCTGTGCTTTACTGCTGAGAAAAACACTGAAGGTCAATGGCACAGCATTAGGAAATGCTTTCCATGGAAACCAGCTGATACTGGCGTAGCACCAATCACATGTGCCCATAGGTTTAAAACTGTATGGGAAGTGAAAAAGGTTGAACATTAAAATGTCCAGATTGGGGGTTAATATTGGAAATTAATGTTCAAAAAGTTTCTTATCTAAAGTAAGAGGAGATAAAATGGTATAAAAAACAATATAGGTGGGGGGAAAAACAGGCTCACATGAGACAAACAAATGAAAAATCCACATCACACTGGGAGCTTAGAGGCAGTCACTTTGCTAATGTTACTTGCTTTAGAAGCATTTACTGGAATTACCTCCACATCTGTTTCACTGTCTGTAAACTGGTATTGCTATAAAGTTATAAAAGACAATAACAGAATAAATTGAAGGTTATAAAGCGCTCAGAGAAAAATCACACACCCTAAATAAGTGGATAATCTACTCCATTTAATAATGTTAGAACCTGAAGGTTAAAACTTGTTTAAATAACCCCCCTCTGACAGGGTTGCCCAGGTATTACAATGATAACTATACTTGCTCAGATAGTATCTAAAAGACTGAGACACACAGGCACAAAGGAGGTCTTAATTTGGGTTTAAAACATGCAATATAGATGTGTAAGGGAATTGATGATTTCTGTAAATGGAATAAAATGTTAATTTTCTTTTTGGAGTTTGAAATGACTAGACAGTATACATACAAGACTTGAAACTTGAAAATCACATGGAAGAATGAGAGATGACACTAAGAATGCCTTACGGAGGAAGAACTTACCGCTGCCTTAAGAAAGTAATAAAGGAAAGTCAGGAAGAAAGAAAAAAAAAAAAGTAGAGAGTTTACTACAGAGGAAGGTAAGAACCATACTACATAAGACAAATTCATCACATCAGCATTTACAGAATGGGAAATCCCCAGGACATCACTTTAATAGAAGGAAGACACAAGGGCTCAGAACAGCCTACAGAGTGGCCTGGGGGCTCACCTGTCCGAAGAAGGCCACCCGGAAGTAGGTCCCCAGGAGCCTGCGGCCGGAGTGCATGACCTCCGTCACTTTGCTGTAGGCTCGGTGCAGCGTGTCATACAGATGGGCGAGTCTCTGGAAAGCAGAAGACAACACATTTCTTCCTATTTGCAAGTAGCAGAATAAAATTTAAAACAATAAATGTGATAATGTGTCTGCAAATACCTTAACTTTGAGTAGAAAAAAAAGTCACTGTATGTTTGTGTGTGTGAAGAGGCAGGAGGTGTGCATGTGCGTGTGTGCGTGCGTGTGTGTGTGTGTGTGTGTGTGTGTGTGTGCGTGTGCATGCATGCACAAGCCAGAGGACAAGCGTGGGTGGCGTTCTTCAGGCCTTGTCCACCTTTTGTTTTTAAAGACAGGGTCTCTCATTGGCTCAGAACTCATCAAGCAGGGTATGCTGGGTGGCCAGTGACCCTAGGCATTCACTTGTCTGTCTCTCCAGCCCTGGGATTCTAAGCATGTGTCACCACACCTGGCTTTTTTACATGTGCCCTGGGTATTGAATTCAGGTCCTAGGGCTTTTAAGGCAAACACTTTATGGACTGGTCTATATTGCTCCAGTCCCAAGAATATATTTGACTGTATAGCTCACAGTGATGATTTCTGGACTGCAGCCTTTTCTATCTAAAACGGGTGCTATGAGCACTCATTGTAGGTCTATTTCCAAACTGACATGAGATGGTGGAGAAAATCCTCTGGTGTCATGCAGGCTCTGCTCTTCATACTGCATTTGATTTGCTGGGGCAATGGCCAACTTCAGAACCCTGGAAGGTGGAAGGGCCACTGTTCCCCCATGCAGGAGAAGCAAGGAAGAGTTTTAAGGAAAGAGCCCCTGGAAATCATACAACGCTGTTTAGGGAAACTCTTCCAAAGTTCAGCGGTGGGATGGGACCCTTGCAGTTCAAACAGGGGGGTGTCTACATAGACAGGGCCTGGGATGGGTACATCTGATAATCTGTAGATGGTGACCTTGGATGTAATGTGGGGTCACTGGACCAAGGCCTGCTGGCTCTCTCTGCATGAGGGCTGGGGCACGTCAAACAGAAGAGACGGTGAGATACCTCGAAATCCCGCCGCTTTTCATAGATGGGGATGATAAGCTTATAGATGTCAGCGATCAGCTCGTAACGCTCGGCCTTCCAAAGTCCATCTGCACACTGCTCCAGCAGCTCCATCAGTACATCCTGGTCAAAGAGAAAGGGCGGGGCCGGGAGAGATTACGGAGACTCTGTCATCGCATCCCTCGGGGAATGTGCAGCCCGAAGATTGCTTGCAGTGGAATTTATCAGACACAATTCTTGAGCACTAAGTCCATGACTGTGACAACTCCCTGCCAAGTTCCTTAAGGGGTTGTTTCCCCCAAATCATGTTTACATGCAAAAACTAAAAAGGTACCATAGCCGGGCTGAGAGATGGCCCAGCAGTTAAGAGCACTGACTGCGCTTGTAAAGGACCCAGGTTTGGTTCTCGGCACTCACAACTGTGTAACTCCAGCTCCAGGGATTCTGATACCTTCTTGTGGGCACTGCATACGTGTGATACACATATATACACATAGACAAAACACTCAGATACATACGATAATTTTTTTTAAAAGTATAGAAATTGACAATGGTAGACTCTCACAAGCTCTGAGCTCTTGTTTATTAGCTCTCCTTTTAGAAGCAGAATTTAGAAATTTCTTTCCTTTCTGATGAACAAATACTGACAATGTGGAGACATGGAGCATGTTTTCAACTCCAACTAAACATCTTGAAGTTCTCCAGGGATGGTGTGTGGTGGGACCCTTTCCTCCTCCTCTTGGCAATTTCTTCCTATAGAAGTTTGCACAGTCATCTGCTTTGGGCAGAGCTCTTGGACTTGGAAAGAAACACTGTCTATGGCTTATTTATACTAATCATCACAAGCGATTTTTAGCCATAGACACTGGTTCATCATGGTGCCAGGATGGGTCAAGTTTAAGGCTTTATCGCAGCTTGGAATGCTGGGATGGGAAAGGCAGGCAGAAGAGAGGCAGCATGGAGGTGATGGGGGCTAGCATTCATCTCACGGCTGTGGAAAGGACCGGAGAGTCCAGCCAATGATCTGAATTACCGATTGCTTTGTAGGTTTGGATTTAATAAGGTGAACATATTTGTCTCATCTCTAACCCTGGAACTGGAAGGCAGCCTCCGTCTTATTTTTTTATACTGTTATTGTTTGGAGACAGCTCATGTATCCTGGGCTGGGCTCACCTGGTTTATATGGTGTGGAAGATTGAACACAGGGTTGTACACAGCCAGGCAAGCACTCTACCAACGGAGCCACGGGCCCACGTGCTCCCCACGAAACCTCGGTTTTTATTAGTTCTTCTAGAATTTCATGTTTTCCATTTTTAGGCTAATGTTCATCACAGGTCCAATGCCCACGGTTTATAGAGCCAAAGAAAATATCATTTTAAACCAATCAGCCTGTCAGACGATACTGTCTAATCAAGCCTATTTAACTCACGTTATATTGATGACACATACATCATAGATTTGTCATTTGTATGACTGAACTCTGCACCAGTGCTTATAAAAAGGTATGAGTCGTCCCAGGCTTTATCGTAGCTCCCATTAAAGCCAGATGTGCACAGTAAGCACCATAACAGCTGCAAAGAACCCGGATGTCTAGCTTGCTTTCATTTCTAGTCTTTTCTAGTGGACAGTCCAGCACACCAAACACGCTATTTCTTCAGGTTCCCCTGCTTATTAAGAAGCCAAAAGAGAAAGCATAAAAATACAGCTTGTATAATTTCATAGTCACACAGGCATGCGCTCACGTCGTTGTAAAATAAACACAATGAGTCTCAGTTCTCACCCTCATTGGTATTTGGGCAGGTCTGTAAGAACTGATCACCACCCCGTCCCATGCTGTGCAACCTGGAAACTGTGCTAATTCAGTTAAATCAGCTTCTCACATTTGATCATTACTGTCTACTTGGAATTAATTTTGCTTAAAAAAAAAAAACCAAACTTATTTCTACCAGAGTACATGCTATTCCACGGTACCTGACACCCACAGTCAGTGAGCAAGTGGTTCTGAGAAGCAGGTTTGTATTTTTCTCAGTGAGTTAGCAAAACTGGGACAGTCCTTGGTGTGGAGAGGTGTCGATGAGCTCCGTCAAAGCCTTGTGTTTCTCAAAAGCCTCAAATCCCAAACAAAGGGCCAACTGAGGTGCCCACTAACATATCAAAGTGGACACTGGCCCCCAGGTTCTCCCTGCACCCCTCAGCCTCTACGTTTTATGGCCCTCTTTGCTGTACCCCGCCTTCTACCCCAAACTTCTCCAGCCCAAGGGTTGCACTGCCCTTCCCCCAGCTGCCCCTACGTAGTCCAGCCATTTTGGCTATGCCAGTCTCTTGGCCCAGCTGGCCCTCTTGGTCAGAAGCTCCGCCCTCCCTCCTCACATGGCTCAAGGTGGTGTCTACTCTGGACTCTTCTAGATGTCCCTGCCTCTGACTATGCTCTCCCTTTTATCAACAATAAACTTCCTCCTCCACCATACCTGGGAGCGGTCATGTTCTTTCCTTTTTCTTTCTTTTTTTACGCACTCACCACCAGTGTATTTCCCAAGCACTTGTATCCTGGTGCTACCAAGGAACCACAGAGGTGGCCGAAGGAGTTCAAGGAAGCCGGGTTTCTCAAGATGGCAACGTTGTAGTCAAGTATTTTGATGATGTCAACAACATGAAACTTTATTTTCAAACTATTCTATAGCACAATCATTTGGTCCCTTGTATTCTAACTTCCAGGTTTATCACAAATGTAGATTTTTTTTATGTGGAAAAGTACAGTTGGTTTAACTAGTTGCCTCGGTCACACCATGAACAGATATCTATCTAATAATGGTACCCTATTTACTGTGGATCAGTTAAACAAACAGTAGATAACTTTAATTCTACCCCTTAGCAATTATAGCATAATAAAAATCTGAAGTAAATTATTTGTTTGTTTATGTCAGGTCCAAAGGAAACTTCAATTACCCAAAGTCCAAAAGGCAGTCCATAGATCCAGAAATGGGTTCAACCCGGACTGAGGATGATTGGCAGTCAGATAAAAGCCAGCATTGCTCAGGAACTGGTGAAGCCAACCCACCTCTACCAAAAGGAGTCACTTCCCTTACCCCTGGCAGCAGACACAGATGGCAGCCTGCAGGTGCACATCACAAGTAGCTGGTACACATTTCGGAGTCCACACCAGCATCCTAGCCCGTCTGCCCTCCCCAGGCTTTCCTCCTTCCAGATACCCACTTCCTCTCTGGATAACGGCAGGCCAGGTCTTCCCTCTGCCCACGGCTACTCTCACTCCACTCCCTCTAAAGTAAATCTCCGCTGTGCTCACTCCCACTCACTCCCACTCCTCAGCCCTGGCCATGTCCAGCCTACTTCTTTCTCTCTGCTCTGGACTTCTCCAGATGCCTCTGGCTGCTCTCTAAAGCCCTGGCACACTGTGCAGTGGTCATGCTGGCAGTCCCTTTACTTCACCGTCTGGAACACAGCTTTGAGACAGGAACTCAGAGTCCCAGTGCTGTGCAATTTATGCTGTGGAACATTTGGTTAATGATGCAAAGATGTGCTGCTTTTGTTTATGTTGCATTTGTTTAACTCTGTGAAGCTGTGTTACTGTGCCTGTCTAAAACACCTGATGGTCTAATAAAGAGCTGAATGGCCAATAGCTAGGCAGGAGAAAGGACAGGCGGGGCTGGCAGGCAGAGAGACTAGGAGGAGAAATCTAGGGAAGAGGAAAGAGCAAGAAAAGGAGGAGAGGAGGGCACCAGGGGCCAGCCACTCAGCCGCCCAGCCAGCCATGGAGTAAGAAGGAAAGAAAGATATACAGAATAAAGAGAGGTAAAAGCCCAGAGGCAAAATGTAGTTAAAGATAGATGAGATAATTTAAGTTAGAAAAGCTGGCTAGAAACAAGCCAAGGTAAGCCAGGCATTCATAAGTAAGAATAAGTCTCCTTGTACTTATTTGGGAGCTGGGTGGGGGGCCCCAAAAGAGCAAAAAAAAACAAAACAAAACAAAACCCAACTGCACCCCAGTTTGTCTCGAATTCAGTACCTTCCTGTGTCTCCTCCCAAGTGCTGGGACTGCAGATACACTCCGCGATATTAAGAATCTAGAGTGATTTTAATGTGATACAAAAAAGTTGAAAATTTTCTCAAGGAGTTAAAAGAGTTGGAACTAGTTTTAAAAGTTTCCATTCAGCCATTTTCATCCCCAGACATTTTAGTCAAACACCTACTGTGTACAAGAAGCATGCTTGACACCACGGTTGTAAAACCAAATCTACTCAAGCCAGGTCTTTGTAATTTGTAAAAACTGCTCAGCTGTGCTATTCCGAAGGCTTGGTCCCCAGGTGGGGGGAATTTCAGGAGTTGGGGCACAGAAGGAGGAAGTGGGTCGCTAGGTAGAAGCTGTATTGGTAAACGGTCACGAGCTGTTTGTACTAGTTAAAGCAGACCCTGTGAGCGAGGTGGGCTCACCTGTCTCAGGTGCAAGCATGTCTATTTCTAGTGTCCTCCAAAACTGTCCTAGGGCAGGCTGGTCCCCTGCAACAAGGAGACATGAGAACAGCAAACAGCTAAGGGTGTTGAAAATCTTACACCCATGAAGACAGCTGGAAGCTAAACCATTTCCGACAGAGTGGCCCAAGAATGCTGGTGGGAAAGAAGCCTGAGCCTCTGTGCAGGGGACGCCCAGCCCGGCCTGGAAGGCTCTCAGCGGGGATCTCAGTGGGGCATCCTTGGCCGGTTCTGCTGGATGCTGCAGTTACTAACTACTCGTGCTGGTCTCGCCTCGCTGTTCCAGTTGTTGGATGCTGTAAGTGCCGGAGTTGATAACGTGCTGTTATCTATAGGCTCTTCGGCTCTATCTGCCACCTACGACTCACCATTTGTCCTTACTTCTGTTTGCCACAAAAACGCACTCATCAAAACCCCAAGCATGGATGCCACAGGCCACTCTCTGTAAGAAACATTGCAGGTGTTTCTTTAAGGCCTTTCATCACCAGCTGCCATAGTGAACGTTCTGCACCACCACACCCTTCTGTCATGATTCTTCGGCTTCACTTTGACCCCAAAACAATGGAGCCACTAGACCAGGCCGAAGCCTCTGAAACGATTAATAAATCTTCCCCCCTTTTGAATGGTTTCCTCTT